TCAGGGGCGCGGCCCCTTCCTGTGCTCGGCTCCTCGGAGTTTCCCGCTGTCCTCCAGCGCTGCGCGGCTTGTCGCGCCCGACGCCAGCCTTGACCATGCTCTCGTCTTCTGCCCCGCCTGCTGCCCGCTCCGCTGCCTCCTCCCCGAGTCAGGGGCGCCTCTGCGTTCAGCGGCGCGATGCATGTTAATTCTGTCGGCCGTTGTGTGCTCTGTGCCGCTTCCTGCGCGCGCGCTTCCTCTTCTCTTCTCCTCTCTTCTCTTCTCTTCTCTTCTCTTCTCTTCTCTTCTCTTCTCTTCTCTTCTCTTCTCTTCTCTTCTCTTCTCTTCTCTTCTCTTCTCTTCTCTTCTCTTCTCTTCTCTTCTCTTCTCTTCTCTTCTCTTCTCTTCTCTTCTCTTCTCTTCTCATCTCTACTCTTCCTTCTCTTCTCTTCTCTTTCCGTTATCTCCCCTTCCCTTCCCTTCCCTTCCCTTCCCTCCTCTTCTCTTCCTTCCTCTTTTTCTGCTCCTTCTTCTTTTCTCTCCTTTATTATATATATATCTATATTTATTATTATTTCAATATATATATATATATATATATCTATATTGATATACATATACACGAAAAAAACAAACAAAACACAATATTATGTTTTTTTTTCTTCGGCTGTAAATATTATTACTTGTTTTCCCATATTTGTCTTATTCCTTCTTCTTTCCCTCCTCCTTCATCTTCTTCTTCTTCTTCTTCTTATTTTTCTTCTTCTCCATCTTCTTGTTGTTATTCTGCTTATTATTCTTCTCCTTCTCCTCCTTTTCCTCCTCCTTCTCCTCCTTCTTCTTCTTCTTCTTCTTCTTCTTATTCCTTCTTTTTCTTCTTCTACTTATGCTTCTTCTTCTTATTCTTCTTCTTCTTATCTTTTTTCTTCTCCTTTTCCTTCTCCTTCTCCTTTTCCTTCTCCTTTTCCTTCTCCTTCTCGTTCTCCTTCTCCTTCTCCTTCTCCTTCTCCTTCTTCTTCTTCTTCTCCTTCTTCTCCTTCTTCTCCTTCTCCTTTTCCTGCTCCTGCTCCTGCTCCTGCTCCTGCTCCTGCTCCTTTTCCTTCCCCTTCCCCTTCCCCTTCTCCTTCTCCTTCTCCTTCTCCTTCTCCTTCTCCTTCTCCTTCTCCTTCTCCTTCTCCTTCTCCTTCTCCTTCTCCTTCTCCTTCTCCTTCTCCTTCTCCTTCTCCTTCTCCTTCTCCTTCTCCTTCTCCTTCTCCTTCTCCTTCTCCTTCTCCTTCTCCTTCTCCTTCTCCTTCTCCTTCTCCTTCTCCTTCTCCTTCTCCTTCTCCTTCTCCTTCTCCTCTCCTCCTTCTCCTTCCTTCTCTTCTCCTTCTCCTTCTCCTTCTCCTTCTCCTTCTCCTTCTCCTTCTCCTTCTCCTTCTCCTTCTCCTTCTCTCCTTCTCCTTCTCCTTCTCCTTTCTCCTTCTCCTTCTCCTTCTCCTTCTCCTTCTCCTTCTCCTTCTCTTCTCCTCTCCTTCTCCTTCTCCCTCTCCTTCTCCTCCTCCTTCTCCTTCTCCTCCTTTTCCTTCTCCTTTTCCTTCTCTTTCTCCTCCTCCTCCTCCTTCTCCTTCTCCTTCTCCTTCTCCTTCTCCTTCTGCTTCTTCTTCTTATTCGTTCCGGTCCCAGAAACGTCCGAGTAGCCCGCAGAGTGGCCGCAAGGGAGTTTCTAGAAAGAGCTGTCGCCTGCAGTACCGGCGTTTCCCAGCAGCCGCGCGCCTCCGCGCCAACCGCTGCGAATTTTGAAAAACTGATTCGCGGCGTCTCGACCTGGCGCGTGTCCGAGGGCTTGCCTTTCCCGTCGGGCGCGCGCGCCCGCCGTGCCCGCGGCGAAGTTCGGGAAACCCACGCGCGGCCTACAGGCCCCCGTCCGCGGGGTATTTCCTCTCGTGCGCGCGCTTCCGCCCCTTCCCCCGAGTGGCGAATCTAGGACCTCCCCCCAAAAAGAATCACTCGTGGCGTACAGGCTGGCCGCGAGGGCGTTTCTACAACCCACTGGATACGCATGGACTCCGTGGTGATCGAGAAAGTGGTCGGCCTTGACGTCGGCCGCGCAGTGGGGGCCGAATTTGGAAGGTCCCCGGTGCATTTCTCGAGACTTCCCCGACAATAAGTTTCCAGATCGCCTTTCAGGTCCCTCTGAAAATATACGTAGAACAGGCCTCTGGCAAAAGGCAATTTTACACAGGACGTCCGCACGGTAACAAAAACATATCGATCTCAATGCTGCGTCCGGGTGGCGATAGTGCGAGAGGAACACTCACAGGGTATTCTATGGCTGCTCTCCCGCCGCCAGACCGTGGGGATTCTGTTAAGCTTTCCCCGCCACCGCGCGTCTCGTCCACCCCCTGCGGCGCCCATCCCCCGTTGGGGTCACGGGCCTACGGGCCTTTCTTGGAATTTCTTGGTGATCGATCAAAAGTCGAAGCTCGAGGTGTACCGTGTGGCGAAAACCGAGGGGTTATACCATCTTTCTTTCCCCTCGCCTTCCCTCTTTTCTCCGCCCTTGTTTTTTTTCCGCATTTTTTTTTTTTTTTTTTTTTTTTTTTTTTTTTTTTTGTGTGTGTGTGTGTGTGTGTGTGTGTGTGTGTGTGTGTGTGTGTGTGTGTGTGTGTTTGTTTTGGAGGGGGGGGGGCGGTAGAAATGCCACCCTCCGCAGGAGGGGTATTTCCCCGCAGGCGCGCTCCCCGGCAAACGTCCGCCGTAAATTTGGCGAAAATTATTCGCTGGGTGCAGGCTGATGGCGGTGTGGTCCGTCGACGAAAGCACATCCGCTCGCAGTGGCTCTCCCCGTCGGGCGCGCGGGCCCGCTTTGCCTGCAGCGCGGTCCGCAAAACGCAATCGCGGCGTCCAGGGCGGCCTCAAGGGAACCCCTCGAAGTGGCGCCCGCCTGCGTGGCGAGATTTCCCTTGCAGGTGCGCGCCCTGGCGCAGCCCGCGGCGAGTTTCGAGGAACCCGCTCGCGGCCCACGGGTAGTCAGCGAGGGGGCGTCTCGAAGTGGCGCTCGCCCGCAGGTCGGAATTTTCCCCGCGGGCGCGCGCCTCCGCCTCCGCAGCAGCGACTTACGAGAAGTTCACTAGCGGCGCACATGTTGTCAGCGAAAACGTCCCTCGAAAGGGCACCCGCCTGCGCCCAGTCCTTGGCCCAAGGCAGCCGCGTTCCTCCCGCAGCTCGTCCTAGCCCCTCCCCGCGCGCCCACGGTTAGTGTGGGACAGGGGCACGCCCCGAAGGAGCAAGATGTTATCGGCCAAAGCCAGGAGGACCTCGAACCTGCTGCGGGCTAGCCTTGGCGCAAGGGGGCGCTCGCGCTGCCGCCGCGGCGTGGCGAGGGCGCTCGCGCAGCCGCCGCCGGCAGGCCGCAGCTGCCCCTGCCTCTGTCGCCGCCGCCGCGGCTGTCAGCCAGGCAGCCGCCGCCGTGGCCGCCTCCCCTCCAGCTGCCGCCGCTGCCAGCCGCTCGTGGCGCGGTCGTCCTGTCGCAGCCCGGCCTGCCCGCCAGTCGCGCCTGGGCCTGTGCCCGCTGCAGCAGGCTTCTTGTGCAGCGCCGCTGCAGCAGCGCCCCAGGCGCGAGGCGGCCTAGCGCCAGCTGCCTCGTCCTTCTGGCGCGGGCTGCCTCCTCCTCTGCCTCCTCGGCCGCGCCGTCTCCCTCTCCGCCTCGGCGCTGCTGCAGCGGGGGCGTGGGCGTGGGGCCCGCAGGCGGGCGCGCGGCAGCCCCGTCCCACGCCCGGGAGGTGGGGCCCTAGGCGGGTGCGCAGTAGCCCCCTTCGCTTCTGAGGCTGGCTCCTCGCCAGGCCCTTGTTCCGCCGTTTCTTTGGAGCAGGGGCCCAGGCGTGGGGCCCGCAGGCGGGTGCGCGGCAGCGTCGTCCCACGCCCGGGAGGTGGGGCCCGTAGGCGGGTGCGCAGTAGCCCCGTCCCACCTCCGGCCCCTGCTCCACTCTGGGCCTCTTGCCCGGTCGGTTGCGGCTGGTGCTGGCCGTCTTCGTCGTGCTGCTGGTCGTTGTGGGGGTGGTGTTCGTGGTGGCGTCGGTGCAGGTGCTGGTGCTGGTGGCGGTGCTGCTGCTGGTCTTTGTCGTGGTAGCCGCCGCCGTTGTGCTCGTGGTTGTGGTCGTGGTGGCGGTGCTGGCGGTTGCGTTGCTGGTTGCCGTGGTCTTGGTGGTGTTCCTGGTCGTCGTGGCGTCGGCTGCGCAGTCTGTCGTGGTGCAGGTCGCTGTCGTGGCGCTGGTGCTCTTGGTAGTTGCTGCGTCGCTGCTCAGTGTTGTGGTAATGCTGGTGCGGGCTTGGGCGTCGGTGCTGCGGGCTGTCGTCGTCGCGCTGGCTGTGGTGGTGCTGCTGCTGGCCACTGTCTTCGCGCTGCTTTTCGCCGTCGTAGTGGTTGTGCTGGTGGCGTAGTTGCTGGTCGCTGTCGTGGTGGTACTGCTGCTGCTGCTGCTGCTGCCGCCGCCGCCGCCGCCGCCGCCGCCGCCGCCGCCGCCGCTGCTGCTGCTGCTACTGCTGCTGCTGCTGCTGCTGCTGCTTCTGCTGCTGCTTGTCGCCGCGTTGCGTTGCCGTCGGTGGGGGTCGCAGTCGTTGTCGTGCTGCTGGTGGCGCTTGTGCTGGTAGTCGCGTCGCAGTGTTGGTGCTGGTGTCGCTGCTTGTTGTCGTGGTAGTCGTGGTGCTGGTTGTCGCCGTCGTAGTCGTAGTGGTCGTAGTGGTGCTGGTCGCCGTCGTGGTGGTTCTTCTGCTGCTGGTCGTCCTTGTGTCGCTGTCGTCGCCGTGCTGCTGGTGGCGCTCGTGCTGGTAGCTGTCGTAATGGTGGTGGTGGTGCTGGTGCTGCTGGTGGTCGGCTCCCGCTGCTGCTCTCGCGGGTGCCCACGTCCTCAGGGGAGCGCCGACAAGAGGTCTCCCTGCCAGGGTGCTTCTCCGTCCGTGGCTAGCATCTCGCTGGGCACGTCCTTAATAGGCCAGCCGCAAGGGCGTCGTGGATGGCAAGGGACAATAGGACAGTCCACCTGTGCAGAAACTCCGTTGTCAGCGACCCTCGGGGCGCAGCAGGCGCGCCCCTGGCCCGGGCCCGGCGCCAAGACCACGAGGAACTTGTACGCTTCCTCGTCCCAGCTTCCGCCCGTTTCGGCTCCGGCCACCAAGAGGTAGCTGCGCCTGGAGCCCGCGAGTTGAGGGAAGGTGGTCTGCTTGCCGTGGCGGGCCCGCTGACGCGCAAGCCCCGGGCAGCGCCTCCGTGCGGCAGGCCTGCCCGCGGCCATCAGCGGCGACACGGTGCAGGCGTCGATGGCTACCTGGCGGCTGCGGGAGGCCGGGAGGCCATTTGCGACAACGTCGATTCGGCGCCCGTCGTAAGCCCCGATGCCTGGCAGTTTCATGTCGCGCAAGAACACGTTGGTGCAGACGCGGCCCCCCGCCTCACGGCACACCCTTGCCCACATCCGTTCGATGGGGGCGCCGCGTTTGAGAAGCCGTCCGCCGCGGGGGCAAGCTGCTATGTGGTCGCCGCGCAAGTCGAGGTGGGCCTGGCAGGAGCGCCCATTGCACCCGCTGGCTGTGGTGTCCAGAGGCAGGCGAAACCGTCAAAAAGCAGCGTGCGGAAACGCTCTGGTGTGAAGGTAGTTTCGGGCGTCTCCGGGATCAGGGAAAGGTGTCGCCCGCCGCAGCGGCCTACGTGGGAGGCCAGTATCCCTGGCTGGTCGTCCGCGAGGCTGGGTCGCCAAACATCCTCCCTGAACCGTTGCTCTCGTGCTGCTGACGCGTGGTGCTGCCATCCGTGCTTCCGCTCGCTAGGCTCTGGCTCCGTCTGCTGCGGGCGCGCGCCGTCCCAAACCTCTTCAAGACACTCGGCTGCGGCGCCTATCCCAGTGCGGAGGGCGGCGGTGAGCTCTGCTGCTGCTAGAAGGTTTCTTTGTCGCAGCATGGGTGGCGCGCCTGCCCACGACGCCCAGTAGGCGCACTCAGCCGTGCGCGCTGCTTGCGGACCTCCGCCCGAGACTGCCGAGGCCGAGCGGCAGCGAGCTCGCGCGGAAGAGTCTTTCTGCGTCCGCCGGCGTGGGGGCCAGGTCGAGGAGGCCGCACAGCGCTTCCTGGAGCGAGCAGTCGCGCCCCTCCGCGTACAAGGATGGTGGCATCTTGCGCAGCACGTGGTTGCACCGTGGCACAGCGCAGTACAGCAGGAGTGCCCAGGCACACCGAAGGTCGGACAAGTGTGGGAGCTCTTGGAGAAATCTGCGTTCCTCGTCTGTCCGCTCTTGCGTCTGCCTGGCTGCGAACGCCGGCGTGCGCAGGGACGCGCCGAGCACCTCGAGGCTGCGGTGCTCCTCTGGCGCCCGGGCGCCGCCGACCCACGCGTCTGTGCCCAGCGCCTGGTGCCCTTCTGGTTCGAGGCCGCATCGGTTTCACAGGCGGCACTTGCCGAGATTCGCCTCGATGCCCGCCCACTCCCGCATTGCGTTCGTGACGTCGTAGAAGACTGCAGTGGCGCGCTCTGGTCTGAATACGACGTAGACGTCGTCGAGGTAAGCAAGCAGTTCCTCTCCAGGTTGCCGCCGCGCGCGCGCCATCTCCAGGGCGCCGTGTTGGGCCAAGGGAGACAGCACTGGCATAAGCGGGTCGCCCTGCTCACCGCCCCCCCCCCCCCTGCGTCACTTCGTGCGCAACTCCTGCGTTGTCTGTCCATGAGTACCTGGACGGCTGGCCGTGCGAGAGTAACACAAAGTGGACCAAGGCAGAGGCCCCAGGTAAGGAGAGGAGCTTCTCGATCAGACGGTCGCGGCGCACGTGGTCGAAGGCACGAGTGCCGTCGATGCTCACGATCATTGCGGCGGCGTCAGCGTCAGTCGCGCCGCGGAGGAAGTGGGCCGCGCTGTCTGTACCAGCTCGCGTCGACCGCGCGTACTGGAAAGGCGCGCAGGCGTCGTCCATCTCGGCCCCGAACTGCCGAGAGAGCGCCTTCGCGACGAGCCTGCGGACGGCATCTCCTGCCACTATCCCTCGCGCGCGGCCGTTGTCTTTCAGTAGCGCGGTCATGCGGCCAGTGCCGAGGGCGCGGGCGACGCTCACTGGGATCTCTGCCCGGGCGCGCACCTCCCAAGCTCGAGCGTGTCGTCCTCGTCCAAGGCCAACCCGAGGAGCTCAAAACTTGCACCGCCCAGCGAGTTAGAATACCTTTTTCGGCGCAGAGCGGACGCACTCAGTCCAGATGCAGCAGTCTAGCTCGACCGGGCGGGCTGGGCGGAAAGCTCGCGCAGCTGGCGGCAGCGCGGCTGCGGGCAGTGGTGGGCGCCGAGCGGGGTCCCGCAGCTCAGCCAGCGTTTCGGCCGTGCCTAGGCGCTAGCCCGCGCGAAGCCAGCAACTGTCGTGCTTTGCCGAGGCCGCCTGCCCTGACCAGCGCCACCGCCTGCTCTAGGGTGCGCTGGCGGCTCGCCTCGGCGTCGTCTGCGTGGCGCGCGGCTGGGGCGCCCTGTGCCCGAGCGCTCGGTGCGAGCAGCGCTTCCCACGAGCCCTCCCCGAACTGCTCCAGTCGCTTTTCGAGCTCTCGCCGCCCTGGGGCCGCTGCGCTGGCGGGCCTCTGCAGCAGCATGCGCCACATAAGGATCAGCAGCGTCTACGCCCTCAACCTCTGCAGTTCGCCGTCTAGGTCGACGCCGTCAAGAAGCGCCCAGGCGGCGTCGGTGAAGGCAGAGCGGGCTGGGCGTTGTCGACGCGCCAAGCCGCCGCCTCTGCAGGGCTGGGCCTGCGCTGGCGGCACGGCGCCGGCTCTGTCGGAGGCGCCCTGGCTGTCGCCGCTCTGCTGATCGTCGCTGTTGCTGCGGCTGCTGCTGCTGCTGGGCGGGCCCCCGCCTCCACCACCACCTCTTCCTCCTCTGGCGCCTCGGCCTCGGCCTCCTGTCTCTCCTTTGCCGCCTCTTCCTGTTCTGCTCCCGCTGGCGTCGCCCAGCCTTCGGCCTTCTCCTGCGATCCCTCTGCTGGCGTCGTCGCTTGGTTGAGGTCTCGGTGGCGCAGCTGGTGGCGGCATATGTGGGGCGGCTGCGGCCCACCTGGCCGGGTCGCGAAGCTCGTTTGTGCGCTGGTCGACTCCCCGCGCCAGCACGACCCCCCCGAAAAGCTCAAGCAAGAGGTCCTGGACGAGGTCGTCGATGTGGCCGGCGCTGTCCGGCAGCGCTCTTGCCACAGGCTGTAAGTTGACATGTCCAGGGCGCGCCCCGCTTCCAGCGGCGACCGCGGCATGCGCCGTCCCTGGGCTGGCCCCTGCATGCCCCAGCCCTTGGGCGAAAGTCTCGGCTGGCACGGGGTCCGCTCGCTGCAAGGCGACGACTGTCGGCTGCCACCAATCGCGCGTGAGCGGGTGCGTGCTCCATCGCGCTACTACCTGCTGGTCAAGCAGCCCCCCGCCGCCAACAACAAAGGAACGTAAACGTCCGAGTTGGTTCGTGCTCGCAGCGGGCCCGCTGGGGGGTGCCATCCGGCGAAGCGGCCGGGCTGCCGTTGCTGCGCGCCGGTGGGCGCTTGTTCGGGGCGCGCTCCTGCGTCTGCTCCTGGCGCGGGCGGCGGCTGAAGGCCAGCGGCGGCTGACTCAGGAAGCGGCGTGAGGGCGCAACCCTGGCAGAGCCAACCTCCTTGCCATATCCGTGGCTCTCCTGCGACCCCGCTAGCCCGCGCGACCCACTCGATTGGCCCTGGCTGTCCGCAGGGGCACTGCGGCGGTCTCGCACCCTGTGGCGGCGGGACGTCGGCCCCCAAGGGCGCGACGTCGCAAGCGACGCATTCCCAGGTGCTGAAAAGCCCGCGGGGTCCACGATAGTGCCGCCGCCGCATGGCTTGCAGGTGTCGCGGGCAAATTGCGATGGCATGTGGCGCGGGCCCTCCTGGTTGCAGCAAGGGCTCTCCTGCGTAAGGGTCCGCCTCCTCCTCCTCGCTTGGCGGGCCGGCCGCGGCTCGGCAGCGTGAGCACCTGCGCCCTTGTGTGGGGTAGTCTCCAGATGCGTTGAGTGACGCCACGAGGCCCGCAAGCGCCGCCACGCCACCTGGCGAGTCACCCCGCGGGTTGTTGCAACGGGGGCACGGCGACCTTTCGGCTCGGGACGCGTCCCCTGTGTGGAGCAAGTGCACCAGGCCCGCCCGTGTCGGCCGATGTCTGGCCGCGCATGCCGTGTGGAAGCGGTGGGGGGCACGGCCGCAGGCTGGCCGCGCCACGGTGTCCCCTTCCGAGCGGCGTCTGACAGATGACGCAGTGGTCCTCCTCGTTGTCCTCATCTTGCTGCTCACGCTGCCGCTCTGCCTCTCTCGGGCGCCGCGGCTTTTGCGGTGGGAACAACCCGGGGAAGTTCCACTGCGCAGCGCCGAATGGGTACGCAGGCGCCCTGCCGAACACGTCGGCGTCCTCATCCTCTGGCGCAGCTGCTCGCCCAGAGCCGAAGACTGCGTCGAAGTGGTTCGCTGGCAGCGGCTGTGGCTGCAGTGGTGATGGGGGCCGCTCGTCTGTTCTCGAGTCTGGTGTTGCGAACCGTTCGGGCGCCGAGAGCATGTGCGGAGGCGTTTCTGCCAGCGGAGGCCTTGGGGCGGACTCGCCCAATAGACGTTCGGGCGTGCGCGGCGGGCGGCCCTGGGTGGCTTGCCTCGCCGACCCGCTGACCGCGGTATCCGTAGAGCGCGTCTCGAGGATCTGTAGATGGTTCGTGGTGCTGTTGTGGCGGTGCTGGTGGTGGCTGTGCTTGTGCTGGCGCTGATGCTGGTGGCGGCGCTGCCAGTCGCTTTCGCGGTGCTGCTGCTGGTCGCTGTCGTGGCAGTGGCGTTGGTGTTTCTGTTGGTCGCTGTCGCAGGGTGTCGTCGTGGTGGTTGCACTGCTGCTGCTACTGCTGCTGCTGCTGCTGCTGCTGCTGGTCGTCGTGGTGGTGGTGGTGCTGCTGCTGCTGGTCGTGGTGGTGGTGCCGCTGCAGCTGGTCGCAGTGGCGATGCTGCCGCTGGTGATGGTTGTCGTGGTGGTGGTGTTGCTGTTGATGTTGCTTCTTGTCGTCGTGGAGGTGCTGCTGGTCGTAGTCGTTGTGCTGCTGCTCGCGGCGCCGCTGTTGGGAGTCGTCTCGCCTCTTGTGGTTGAAATTGTTGCTGCGTTGCTCCTGTGGGCTTGCTGCACAAGCCAGAGCGCCACCGGGGACCGCAGCGGAGCCGCGCGAACCTCCATGGGGAACTGGCCCCAGGGGAGTCCTACCGTGGGAATGGGGCTCTCCCCCTGGGGGGCTCGGGCTGCAGCTGGCGCCAGTCCCCTCCCTCGGAAGGGGCTGGGGGGCTGGCGGCCAGACGGCTGGAATGGCCGTCTGGGGTGGCGGAGGGCCCTGCTGGCTGCTGTCGTCATGGCCGCTGCCGCGGTGCCTGCTGCTGCCGCTGCTGCCGCTGCTGCTGCTGCTGCTGCTGCTGATGCTGCTGCTGCTGCTGCTGCTGCTGCTGCTGCTGCTGCTGCTGCTGCTGCCTATGGGCTGCCGTCCGTGGTCGCGGTGGTGGCGGTGGTGGTGCAGGGTGACATCGTGGTGGTTGCGGTGCTGCTGCTGGTGCTGGTGGTCGTCGTGGTGGTGGTAGTGCTGCTGCTGCTGCTGCTGCTGCTGCTGCTGCTGCTGCTGCTGCTGCTGCTGCTGCTGCTGCTGGTCGTCGTGGTGGTGCTGCTGCAGCTGGTCGCGGTGACGGTGCTGCCGCTGGTGCCCGTTTTCGTCGTGGTGGTGGCGGTGGTGGTGCAGGGTGTCGTTGTGGTGGTTGCGGTGCTGCTGCTGGTGCTGGTGGTTGTGGTGGTGGTGGTGCTGCTGGTCGTCGCGGTGCTGCAACAGCTGGTCGCGGTGGCGTTGCTGCCGCTGGTGCTGGTTGTCGTGATGGTGGTGCTGCTGCTGCTGTCGATGCTTGTCGTCGTGGTGGTGCTGCTGATGGTAGTCGTTGTGCTGCTGCTCGCGGTGCTGGCTGCCGTCGCTCTGGTCGCTGCGGTGCTGCCTGCTCTCGGGGCGCCCGTGGCGGAAGTGCGCTCTCGTTATGAGCGGCGCGTCTTCGCCGACGCCCGCCCGCGCTGTCTCTCGGTCAGCGTCCTGTCGCCGGTGCGGGCGCCGGAGCTGGGAGTGCCCACCCCCCTCAGGGGGCGCTGGCTGTCCTGGCTTGGCCTGGTCGCGGCGGCCCTCGCTATGCCTTCTCTTGCCGCCCTCCTCTGCCTCCTCGCGCGGCTGCTGCTGTGTAGGCGGACTCTGGTGCTGTCGCTGCTGCGGCTGCCGCTCCTCATCGCGTGTCGCCGCGCCCCTGGCTGCGGCGAGTGCTTTCCGGAGCGCGTTTTGCACCCGCCTCGCGTCGAACCTCGCGGCCAGGCACGCGCGCCGCTGCTCGAAAGCCGCCGCCC